AGGACCTCCAAATTATATAAGGAAAATATTATAATTCTCAACCTGTTAGACATTTGATATGCTGAGTTCGTGTTCTCTAAAATCAAAGAATGGATTCCAGGAACAACAGAGATTAAGAATAGGAAATATTTATTGAGCTCATAGCTCCTGAGAAGCGGGAAAGGTCCTGAATGGGTAGCGAAGGACTCTACTGTACAGGGAATTTTTAAAGATTAAATGTACATAAACATATTTTACCATATAGAAAGAACAATAAGAAGTTTCATAAGGCAAACAGAAGAATATAAATTATAGTCATAATTGGCAGTTTTAAAAGTCCTTAAATCATGTGACCTTCTCCTAAAAACATAAGCCTTAAAGGGCCGGGAATGTACCTCAGTGGCGCCGCGCCTAGGCGCCTAGGGCCTTTTCACTGTGCTACATTCACAGCCCTTTTTTAAAATTTGAGACAGGTTCTCACTAAATTGCTAAGTTGCCCACGCTGGGCTCAAACTTGTGGTCCTCCTGCCTCAGCTTCCCAAAGTGCTGGGATTATAGGTGTGTGCCACCACGTTTAGCTAAGCACATTTTTTTAAATGTCAGTATTGTGTTTTGTTTACTACAGCTTTGTAATATAGTTTTAAGTCAGGGAGTGTGATGTCTCCAGCTTTATTCTTCTTTTTCAAGATTGCTTTGCTACTGTGAATTTTCTGTATCTGTGAACAACACCAATGGAATTTTGATCGATTTTATCTGTAGATACCTTTGGGTAGTATGAACACTTTAACAAAATTATTCTTCCAATCCATGAACAGGGAACTAATTTCATTATTTGTGTCTTCTATCATATCCTTCATCAAGTCTTATAGTTTTCAGTGTACAAATCTTTCAGTTCCTTCATTAAATTTATTACTAAGTACTTTTTAAAAGTGCAACTTTTTAAAGTGACTCTTTTAAATTTTAAAAGAAAATGGCACCATTTTCTTTCTTTTCTTTTTTTTGGTACCGGGGATTGAACTTGGGACCTTCGGCTTTTGAGGCAGGCAGCGGAACCACTGAGCTAAATCCCTGGCCCCTACCATTTTCTTAATTTCTTTTTCTGATGGTGTGTTGGTGAGCTTTCTGCCACCATAACAAATACCTGAGATCATTAACTTATAAAGATAAGTATTCTGGTCCACTGTTTTGGAAGTTATGGCCCATGGCATTTAGGCCTGTGGCAAAATGTACATCATAGTGAGGAGTTTAGGGCAAAGCAAAACTGCTCACTTCATGGCCAGAAAACCAAAGAGAGAGGAAGCCGATGGGGTCCTCTCTACTCCTCAAGGACCACCCTTAATGGGGCTGGGGATTTAGCTCAGTAGTTCTGCTGCCTGCCTCGCAAGTGCAAAGTCCTGAGTTTGATCCCTGGTACCAAAACAAAAAAACCCAAAAAACAAACAAACAAACAAACATGGACCACCCTCAATGACCCCACTACTTCTCATTTGGGCCCGCCTCCTAAAGGATTCACTATCTCCTAATAGCACCTCCCTGGAGATCAAGCCTCCAGCCCATGAGACATTGGGGGATATTTATGATCCAAACTATGGCAGATAATCTGTTTGTAGCCATTGATAATAGGAAGGATTCTGGAAAATTCACAAATGTGTGGAAATCAAATAACACAATGACCGTGGAAATGAAAGTTTCTTTAATTTAATTTAATTTTTAAATTTTATACGTTTTTATTAGTATACATTTGCAGTACATGCAGTTTACAATCATCTTGGGGAGTGGGTACATGTATAGAATACAACTTGTTTCTTTTTAAAATTCCTTTCCCTCTCTATCCCTCTTGCCTCTAATGCCCCTTGCCCCATTTCATTCTTGTTGCTATTATTAATCTTAGTTCATGTTTATAGCATATAATGTTTTTATTTATTGAAGTTTTCAGGTTCTTGAATAAGTCATATTTTTGTGATACTTATTTCTCTTTCCCCTTCCCTCCACCCCCCATCCTTAGTCTCTTGGACACTTTCCCACTTGCAAGAGATCCATCCCCTTGTCTCCTTCTATTCTTCCTTTATTTTTCTCTTAGTTTTGTACTTTGCCGTACTCACGTGAGAGATACCATATGGTATTTAAGCTTGTGTGCCTGGTTTATTTTACTTAACATTATATTTTCCAAGTGCATCCATTTTCCTACAAATGTCTCAGATTTGTCCTTCATTATAGCTGAGCAGTATTCCATTATGTATAGATGCCACATCTTTATCCAAGTGTCTGTTGATGGGCACACAGGCTGCTTCCAGGATTTAGCTATTATGAATTGTGCTGCTATAAACACTGGTGTGCACATACAGTATTGTTGTAGTATGATGTCTTAAGCTCTTTGGGGAAGATAACTAGAAGGAAGAAGTTAGGTCATATGGAATTTCTAATTTTAGTCCTTTGCGAAATCTCCATATTGATTTCATCATGGTTGTACTAGTTTGCATTCCCACCAACAGTCTATGAGGGTTCCTTTTTCACCACAGCCTCACTAGTATTTGCTATTTTTTGATTTCTTGATGATTGCCATTCTTTCTAGAGTAATATGGAATCTTAGCATTGTTTTAATCTGCATTTCTCTAATGACCAGAGATGTTGAATGTTTTTTCATATATATTTTTTGGCCATTTGTATTTCTTCCTCTGTGAAGTATCTGTTCATTTCACTTGCCCAATAAAATAGTTTCTTGCAGAAAAAATAACCACACCTTAAGGGATGTAGCAAACACATTTTAAGAGAGAAATTTATACCAAAATACCCATATTTAAAAAGATTTTTAGGGCTGAGGATATAGTTCAGTGGTAGAGTACTTTCCTGGCATGTGTAAAGTCCTGAGTTCCACCCCCCATATTACACAGGCACACACACACACATGCACACAAGATTTCAAATAAACAACCTTACAACCTAACTTTGACTTTATAACCTCAAGGAATTAGAAAAAGAAGAATAAAGAAAGCCTAATGAGAGCAGTAGGAAAGAAGTAATAAAGATGAGAGTAGAGATAATTGAAATAGAAGTAGAAAGACAATAGAAAAGATCAGTGAAGCCAGGCATGGTGGAGCATGCTTGTAATCCCAGCACTTGGGAGGCTGAGGCAGGAGGATTGCTGAGCGTTCCAGGCCAGCCTGAGCTACAGAGTGAGCTCAAGGCTAGCCTAAACTACATAGCGAGACCCTGTCTCAAAAATAAAAACAAACAAACAAAATTAGTGAAACTAAGAGTTGGGCTTTTGAAAAGATCAACAGACAAAATTAGCTAAACTAACCAGAGAGAGAGAGAGAGAGAGAGAGAGAGAGAGAGAGAGAGAGAGAGAGAACTTAACTAAATAAAATTATAAATGAAGGTGATACCACAGAAATACTGAGGATCACAGTAGACCTCTGTGAACAATTATTTGCTAGCAAAGTAGCAAAGAGGGTAACTTAGAAGAAATGGACAACTGACCAGAAAGATACAACCTACCAAAACTGAGCCATAAAGACACAGGAAGTCTAAACAGCATAATGATTAAGAAGATTGAATCAGTAATCAAAAACCTTTCAACAGAGGAAAGCGCAGGACCAGACATGGGCAGCTCTTCACCTAGCTTTTCCCTCTCACCTTGTCTTGATTCCTTTACCTCCCTTCTCCTAAGCACTCCCCAGTAAATCACTTACACTGGAATTTTCCACATAGGCTCTGCTTACAAGGAAGAAATGGAGGGCAGAGGGGATGGACAGGGATTTGCAAATCAAGAATTTTCTGAATGAAACCAACTGATATCTTGGTTCTTAAGGTCTTCTGGCCACCTGACCTCTGGAATGCTCACCTGCACAGTCACCCTGAGCTATTCGGTCTCAGGGATCTCACCTGTCTCTTTTACTGCCTCCCTCCCTCCCTTCTTCTCACACCTTTCTTTCCAGTTTGCCAAAATAACTTCAAATATTTCTTGCCATTTCATAGAGCAATCCTGTGTTTCCCAGCCCCAGATTCCACATTCAGCTTGGGGTTCACTTTGGCAAATTAAAGCTATTCAGCAACTTGGAAGAACAAAAAGGAGCTTCAGTTCAAGGTAGTTGTGGTTGTGAATAGCAGTCATATGCATCCTCCACTACACTACGGTCCTCTGCAAGAAGCATGAACACAATGCTTAGTACTCCCCACCCCACGCATGGTACTACATATGCTCCTTGAACAAAGTCCTCTTAGCGCTTTGGACCATTCACTGACGTCGCAAGGCATTTAGAATAAAAACCCAAACTCTGACCCTTTCTAATAATACCCTGCGCCCTTCCTGTTTCTCTAACCTCATTGCCTCTCGCTCCTCTGTTCCCTTATTTTCCAGCCATGGGGTGGTCCCTCCTTCACTTTCCTGGCTCAGGACCTTTGCAATTGCTGGTCTCCAAGAAAGTTCTTCCCCCACCTTCTGGGTAACTCCCACTCATACCTAAGTCTCCATCCAAACACTTGTTCCTCAGACAAGAAATTAAAAGAGCCCTCTTGTTTTTAACTTCTCACGGCACTAGGATGCAGCTTCGCGTTTGTCATAGGTGTACTTACCTGTTCGTGCTTTGTTTCCTCATAGCACTGCACACTTCAGGAAGGCAGGACGTAGTCTTGGTCATGGTATTCGCGGGGAGAGGTCAGTGTCTGCCTGGCGCTCAGGGAGTGTTGCTCAATCTGCTTGCTGAAGCTCGCCTCTGGATGACCCCTCCGCCTCCTGGTGGTCCCCTAGCCTCCGAACATGGCCATTGGCTCTGCTTCAAGGGTGACCTTCGCAAGCAAGCGCCGGCCATTCCCAGCCCCGTTGCCGGGACCCCACTCTGCCTCTGTCCAACACGAGCTTCCGGATCACACCTCCACGCCTCCATCTCCCTCCCCGCTTCCCGTAGCGCGGTCCCGGACCGCGGACTGCAACTCCCACAAGGCACCGCGGCCTCGAGCAATCTGATTGGCCAAGATTCTAGCGCCCACCAATAGGACGGGGTTTTGTTGTTCTTGCCGCGGCCGCCCGAGTCGAGCTCGGCGCGCGTCTGCCTGGTTGCTTCGGAGCCGGGTCGTGTGGTCGCCTTCTTGCCTGCCTGCCTGTCTGCCTGCCTCCTGCCATGGGGACCATCGAGAGCAGCGAGGGCCGCAGGGTGTCCTTCGGAATGGACGAGGAGGAGCGGGTCCGGGTGCTGCAGGGCATCCGGGTGAGCACCGCCTCCTGGGTCGGGGTGGGCATGGAGGGCACCCGAGGGCGCAGGGGCCGCGGCCTGTGGGGCGCTGCGGGGCCGTGAGGGCGGCTCGCCTTATTCGCTGCCGCACCGTGCTAGCCTTCTCATCTCGTGAGGGGTCGTGGGTTTCGGAAAATTCCCGGGTCTCGCGTCCAGGAAGAGGCTACACCGGGACCCGAACCGAAGGCTGCAGCGTGCAAGCTTCACTACACTGGTTTCAGGGTAGTGGAGAACGTGACAGGTGGGGAGGCCGCTAGGATAAGAGGGAACCTGGGGCCACTGCCCGCTCCGGTTGACTTTTTACATTTTCTGAATTGATTCTTCATCCTCCCATCCTATCCCACTGCCCAAGAACCCGCGTGTTATGTGTACACGAGATGCTTCCACTTTTGGTCGACTGCATCAGCCTGTTAACCGGGGACTATCCACTCCCACACCTGCCGACAGTCTATTCTACACAACGCAGCCAAAGGAGCACTTTAAGAACTGTAGATCAGATGGTATACCCTTCCCCTTAAAACTCTCCAATGGATTCCTAGCACATTAAAAACGAGAAAGTGCCTTACTTTGGTTTTACGAGGGTGTCCTAGTGCCTGCTGATCTTTCTGGCCATATCCTGGAACTCCCCCAAATTCCCCAAGCCCAGTTTTTCTAAGGAAATACTAGCTTGCTCCAAGCACAGGTCTTTGTGTTTGTTGTACCTCCCGCCCCCTGGTTTCTTTATTTCTGGCTTTTCGTTGTCATTCTTGTAATAGCTCACTTGTCATCCAAGAATCCTCTGAACACTGGAAAGTAGTTTCCCTCCCCTACTGTCATATATTGGTTATTTTCATGGCACTTGTCACAATTTGAAACTTGTATTGATAATTGTTTTTACTTGTTTATTGTGTTTCCCATTAGAGTGTAAACTTCTTGAGGCTCAGATTCTTGTGTGATTCATGACTCTGTCCTCACCACCTAGAAGAATAATAAAAGCAGCTCATATTTCAGTGTGTAGTGGCAGCCATGTGTTGTATTAAGCCCTTTACAGGTATTTCTTTTAATTCTCAACAGATCTATGAGAAGTAGAATTCTGCTAGCCCATTTTGTAGATTAAAGTAAATGGGTGCTAGTGTGAAGTAACTTATCCAAGGTCACACAGGTAACAAGTGAAGAATTGAGATTGAAGTAGGTCAACTCCAAGGCTGTTTGTTGAGCTACTGTGCTTACTTCCTTTCCACACTTGTGGCATAGTGGGTACTTTGTCTATAATTGTTAGGAGATTAGATGAATGAACCCAGTGAAATGGAACAAGTTTGAATGAGACGCATAGAGCTGGGTGTAGGTGAGTTATTTAGGGAGGTGGTTCAGAAACACTTCAGGAGGTCTGATTGCTAAGGTGACCTTGGGTGAACCATTTTTCCTTTGAACCTCAACTAGTACATTAAAGAGTTGGGATGAAAGTGTGAGATAATCCTGGGTGCTGTCTATGATAAGATGAAGATGTATATGACGGTGTTTAAAAAACAGGAAGAGTGCTTTGTGGGGACACAGCCAAGCAGGATGTGTAGCACATTCGGTGCTCAGCAAGAGGTGTGTAGGCTTATTGACCTGGCTGGTGGTGAGGATGAAGTGGGGAGGAGACGGCTTGTGTCAACAGGCTCAGAGGCAAAGAACTTGAGGTAGAATTTAGAAAGACATCCTTGATTCCAGGTGCTGCCCCACCCTTGTCACTTTGTCTCCTGTTTGGGGGAATGTTGGCCCCAGTCTTCAAAAGTTTAAGGGAGTGCCTTTGGAGGTGATTGCTTCTCAGTTGATGGAGAAGCAACATCTTTTTTTGAGTATGCAGTTTATTTCTAGTTCTCTTAATATGTAAAGAATAAACTATAAAAATGGACGATCAGCGTCCATTATGGATGTTGTCCAAGATGTTACTTGAGTAACTTCTGGCCCTTTAATTTATATCTTTTGAATGCAAAAAGCAGCCCTTTCTCATTACTCTAGGCTTCCTGATACCACAATGGCATATGTAAGAGCAGCCTGAAAATCTGTGATGTTACCTCCACCTGACCTGCCAGGGATGCTGGTACACCACTTAGTTTTATCAGACTATTAAAACTAGAAAGAATCTTGCAGATTGTTTGACTGCTTCCTTTTCCAGTTGGGCACACTAATTGGAAGGAATAAGTGGCTTGTCCAGAGAGGCACACAGAGGTACATGGCCTCATGTTGTGAAAGGCATGGCCTTCCTTCTGCTTGTGTGCCTGGCTTGAAAGGGGAAGATGGAAGAAGGGATGTGATGATAATGAAGTATTTTGATGTGTGGCCTTTTCATTTTTATTTTTTGGTGCCGGGGATCAAACTGTCCTTGCACTTGTGCAGCAGGCGGTGAAACCACTGAGCTAAACCCCTGGCCCGGCCGGGTTTTTTTGTTTTTTTTTTTTAAGCAGAGTTACTTGAGGGTTGAGGCATTACCTTGTCGTTAGGCAGGCAAGTTAAAAAATCAGTAAAAAAGATCATTGCATCAATAAAGCAGTTACTAAAGTGAACAGATTAGAAGTTAACTTAAAAGGAGGTAAATGGCCAAAGAATATCTGCCCCATCTCCTTCAGAGAAAATTAAATATTCTTAGAGACCACTTGTATTTAATCCCTGGGGCCTGGTCCTAGAAAGTGCTCTAGTCCCTTAAAATTAAGTACTAGGGCTTTGCTCATTTGCATAGTTATTTGCACAAATTTACATAGCAAGTTTAAGCCCTAATTTCATGGATGTAAAAAATTTAATTAATGCAAAATGCTGCAATTATATTCAACTCCAGTTTTCAGAGCAAGCATGTGTGAAATACATGAAGATTGTTTCAGTCAGTAAATTTAACCTCATCTTCCAGTGAGAGAAGGTGCACATGTGCTGGTCATGTCCTGTGTGTGTCTACTTTGCTTCTTCTCCACCCTGTTCATTCACCTTGGTAATTCAGCTCAAGTTGGTTACTTGTAGACCTCCGGACTCCTTAGAGTTTGTCAGCCTTTTCCCCTTTCCTACAATTTGTCTCCCCACTGCTCCACTCAATTCAGGAACTTACTTCCTCAGCCAAGTTTCTAAGCTAATGACACCCTCTGGGATAGATCAGCTCCACCTTATTCATTTTTCCTGTGAGGCTGGTTCTGGACCACTGTGGAGGGAAATATCAAGAGGAATATAGTCAGATACACAAGAGACAGTCCCAAGACATGTTAGTGCCACAGGCTATGTGCCAGCACACTGTGCCAAGCTACCAGTTATTCTTTGCCTCAGCACATGTTTACTGCTAGTACATTACAGTGCCAGGACTGGCCTTGCAGAGACAGAAAGGAACAAAGCTAAAGTCCCTGGCATCACAGAGACCTCCTCTCAGCGGAATGGATCAAAGGGGGATAGATCAAAGAGAAAGAGAAAAAACAGACAAAGAGTAAGAGAATAAAGGCTGCAAGTGCAAAGAAGGAAATAAAAAAGGTGCAAGAGTGATGGGACTTCCCCACTTGAGGTGGGATGGTCAAAGAGGAGGCAACATTGATGGCAGGACCAGGACCAGCCTTGGAAAGTATGCGTATTCACTGCTAAGCACTGTGTCCTTGGTGTTAAGAGCGTTATTTCGGGTATTCCACATGCTGACCTTGTGAGATGTCATTATCCCCATTGTAGAGGGGAGGTAGTCCTCTTTCAGAAGTGAGGAGACTGATTCAGTGGTGTGGAGTAACTCAAGGTCACAGATGAGTTAGTGGAAGACCTGGAGCTTCAGTCCTTCTGACTCTAACCTGTGTGTTTGGGAGCCACAGGATGATATTTGAGAAAGGATGGTATCTGAGAAGGTTGGCTGGGTGATGAGGTGAGACTGGTGGGCCCTGGGTGCCAGGAAGAGCTGTGAACACGTTATTCTGGATGCCACATTGCATTGTTCTTTTTTTGGGGAGGGCGGTACTGGGGATCAAATTTAGGACCTTGAGCTTGCAAAGCAGGCGCAGTGCTAAGCTAAATCCCTGGCACATTATTTTTAATCAGGAACAGAATTTGCAAAGATTTCATTGGGTGATGCTGATTTTTCCTTTCTTTTTTCAAAGCAACTTTATTGAGATATATTTTACACATCATAAAATGTAGTCATTTCAATATTTTTTTAGTAAATTTGTGGAATTGGGCAACTGTCACCCCAATCCCATTTTAGAACATTTACAGGACCTGAAGAGGTACCTTGTGCCTAGTTGCACTTACTCCCTATCCACGTCCCAGCCCCAGGCAATTTATCTTGTTGCCGCTATAAATTTGCCTTTTCTGGATAATTCATATAAATTGATTCATGTATCTCTTATGTCTGGCCTCTCTCAGCTGTGTGTGTGTGTGTGTGTGTGTGTGTGTGTGTGTGTGTGTGTGTGTGTGTGTGTTGGTTATCAAACCCAGGGTCTTGCAGTCTAGCTGTGTACTCCCATTGAGCAACACCCCCAGACCAATGTAAAGTTTTTGATGTTTGTTGATGTTGTTGCATGTGTCAGTAGTTTCTTTTTATTGCGGAATAATATCTGATGAATGGATTGTGTACTGCATTTTGTCACTAGTTGAGGAACATTTGAATTGTTTCCAATTCCCAGCTATTATGAAGAATGCTGCTGTGGATGTTTGTTTACAAGGTTTATTTTGAAGTGTGTCTCATTTCTCATGGATAGATACCTAAGAGTAAGTTTACTGGATCATTCTGTTTATGCATTTGGTAAGTTATGTTTAACTCTTTAAGAAACTGTCAAATTGTTTTCTACAATGGTTGTAGCATTCTATGTTTTTACAAATGATATATGATAGTTTGAGTTCATATCCTTACCAACACTTGTTACTGTTGGTCTTTTAGATTATAGAACTTCTAGTGGCTGTGAAAAGGTACCTTGTTGTGGTCTGAATTTGCATTTTCCTGAAACTAATGATGTTGAGTATCTTTTCCTGTGCTTATTTGTTATCCATGTAACAATGTGCTG